CCTTTCGGCATTCGGTTTTCGGCCAACTGTTTCCTATTTTCGGTATCGGTTTCGGCCAAGAATTTCCCATTCGGTGCACCCCTAGATATTACGTCATATCGGACGCAAATCTGGATCAGCTCTGTTGTAGCCCCGTTTTTAGAGATTTGGGTTCGGAGGAAAAGAGAGAGGGTTTTATTTTCTGACGCTGCGTGAGTTCCCTAACACCGGGGACACGTATGTATAAAAGAAATAAAAGTGCATTTTGCATGATAGGTCCCCTTTAATGAAACTTACCCGAGCTTGTTGGTCAGATTTGGGTCTAAGTAGATGTTGTTGTGGGAGTACCCCAGATCTGCGCTGTAGGAAATCATCTCCACCTGGACATCTGTTTTATACTGTTTCTGAGCCTGCAGGGATATCTCGTACAGCTGCAGACACAGAGGAAACAAAGTTATTTAACAAGAAAGCAGTCAAATATGCACGAGGAAATGATGCAACGGCATAAATAAAGAGTGTACCTTCAGCCCCATTTGATAGGGAACAATGTGATCGTCCTCTGAATGCAGGATGAGGAGAGGACTGCTCACCGTCTGCAAACTGGGGACATGAGGGGGAAACATTCATTTAGGGAGGATTTATTAGCTAAATATGTATTTGGTGCAATTTATCATAATTTTTTCCGAAACCTCTTTTGGATTTAATAAAAGGTGGCATAAGAAAGAATGTATGTAGTCATAGACGTGCCAGAATAAAAAATATATATACAGTATATATTTTTTGAAAACCGACAAGAGAAGAGAAATATATAAAATAATAAACAATTAAAGCAAGTCGGTTGATAACTGGACGGTTAAAGAAATAGATACAACGATACAATTAATTCCAAAAAATGTAATCGATGGCATTATAAAGAAAATAATATACAATAAATGATTTGATATACAATTAATCTATACCCAAAATAAATTAATGTATATATGTTATCTTAAAAAATATACATATGCATAAATGAACTAAACTATTTTAGAAAACTCGTATTCTTCTTTATTCAAAATTATTTTACTTTCTTTTTTTGTATTGAAATAAAAACAATAAATATAATTGTAATGTATTTATTACTGCACTTACTTTTTATCACTAGCAAACACAATGTTGTTCATGTGCAAAATGCTCCAAATCAAGCTCTCAAATCCTGGCAGGAACATGTACATCTGGAAGGAAACATATACAAAAAAACTGTTACAAATATTTAGCAATTTCTGTACGAATACAAATACTAGTGTGCAGACGGACCTTCGTGACGGGATGAATGGCGACCACTTCTCCGATTGTTGTGAACGCAGCTTCCAGAATCACAGCGTCAACAGCAGTGCCTGAAATAAAGACAGCAAAAAAATATATATATATGGATGCATGGAGTATTACATTTACATTTTAACTCTTGAGAATTGAGTTATTTATTGTAATGCAAGACTCTAACCCACCTTGATCTTGTAATTTCACTGCAGTATTGGTTGCCACTCTAGAAACAGAAGCAGAGTAGGTGTTAGACGTGTGTTATCCTCTCAGTAGTTGTTTTGCTGCAGAGTGGATGTTAAAGTGTATAATCTGACCCTGATCCCAGAGAGTGTCCCCACAGAGCCACTGCAGACCCCCTGCTGTGCTGCAGTACCCAGTCGTGCAGGCAGAGGGCGTCCCTGGTTAACCCTTCCTCACTGGGCTCTCCAGTGGAGTCTCCAAAACCTCAAAAAAAGGAGATAAAAACATTTAAAATCAGGATTATATCAAGACATCGATTACAGAAGAGAACCCCTGTATGATCAATTAAGGTCTTATCTTATAAAACGATGTGAAGGATGTCGTTTTTTATGTTTAAACAGGGCCTTGGGAACCCAACAATGACAAATGGGTTGATATTAAATAAAAATTTGACCTGTTTTTAGCAGAAACACTTTCATATGAAGTACAACATTAAGCATCTCACCTCTGTAGTCTAAGGATAAGACGTGGTAACCTGCAGCACTTAAAATCTGAAACACAAACAAATATTACGTTTATCTTAAAGTGCACCTATCATGCTATTTTAAGGCATATATTATGAGTCTCAGATATATCAAAAATATATAAAAACATGTCTATGATGTGTTTTGCTCAAAATACAAACAGATCATGCATTTTAGAAATCCCTCATACCCCTCTATTTAAGCCCTGTTTAGAGAAACGCAGATTCTGGGTCCGAGGAGGTGGAGCTAATGCCTGATCAGAATTATACCGGAGATAAAGTTAAATTCTGCTGTGATAAAACGCCATCCTGTTCTAAACCACATCAAGGATTATTTCTGAAACAGTATGGAGCTCAAATGCTTTTTTCTCTTGCAGGTTTATCACAAGGTGAGTTCCTTATTTTATTTCCTGCTATTTAAACACATGTGCTCTCCAGTACAGGTTAGCTCTGAGTGTTAGCGAGGCTTGCTAATGTAAACAAAGACGAGATTACGTCCAAAACACGTCAGGCATTGTTTCTGATAGCAACTCTCTGTGGGTCCGCTGCCGATTTGACGTCATATCAGCAGCAAATCTGTATCCGCTCGTTGTACCACCGTTTTTAAAAGATGTGGGTACGGAGGAAAAGAGAGAGGGTTTTATTTTCTGATGCTGCGTGAGTTCCCTGACACCCCGGGGACACATATTTATGTATAAAAGACATACAAAAGTGCATTTTGCATGATAGGTCCCCTTTAAGGTGGAAAAACAATAATCAAAATTTAGAATATTATTTGGAAGTGTTTTTTTGGGAAATATCTGACGGAATTTTTTCAAGATTTCACTCTCGCCAAACCGACTTCCTGTGAAAAATGTCCCTGCCGGGCTGAGATTAGAATAAATAATGAGAATCCTATATTTAAAAAGACATTTTCACCGAAAAAAAGAAGAAGTATAATTTAACTTAAAAAGTAGATTTGATTAAGTTGTTTGATAAAAGAGCATTTTTTTACTTTAAAAATAAGCAATGAAGAAATTTAAATGTAATAATAAAACAAAAATCTCTCAAAGAAGGAGCAGTGATTTGTATTTTTCTCTAAATAAAAATGTCACTAAAAACACCTTATTAAATCAATTATTTGAGTAAAAGGTACTTTAAATCAGAAGCGTACCTTCACCAGCTCCACTCTGTGATGTATAGCTCTGCAGAAACAACATGAGAATGTGAATAAAAACAAACATCCCCACAGACTCCATTAGGATCAATTCAACCCCCCCCCACTAACACACACACACCTGGTCCCTAAGTTTCCATGGAGATAGATAATAACAGGCCGGCCATCGCCCAGGGCCTCCCGGTACCACTCAGGTCCCCTCCCCACGGACCCCTCCCATTGGCTGGCAGGAAGCGTATGCCTGAGAGACACAAAGACACTCCAGGTTAAGATGTTTGTTATTATATGCAGATAAAGGAGGAAATGCCAAGTGAAAAGGCTCGTGGTGCGTTCAGGTGACTGGAGAAATCAGAGCACGTACCAGACCCCCACGGAGACCCCCTCCTCCGGGCTGAGGTAGAAGTTGCAGGTGTGGTTCAGGACGTCTGCAGGTCGGCTCAGATCCACCGAGAATGGAAACTTCACTGCAGAGAGCGTGCAAAGTCAGTGTCATGTGTGGGTTTTAATATATACCAACATATTACAGAGCTGAAACAAGTAGTCGATTGACGGAAAAATAATCAACAATTGTTTTGATTTTTCATGGAAAAATCTCAGAAAATATTGATTTTTTTTATATTTTTTGCTCTGTTTTACATCAAATTTAAATGAATATTTTTTATTATTATTACATATCAGTTTAAAAGACATTTGACTTAAATTCTCATAAATGTAGAATTTAACTAAATAAAATCTTAAAGGGGCCCTATTATAACCATTGTTATGCTCATTTAATTAAAAAAAATTATTGTATTTTCTCCCTAAATAAATAATAAAATATATAATATAAATAACCTCTTAAGAATTATATTTCTGACTAACTAACTCTGTTGAAAAGTGTTGAAAATAATTGAAAAGGTGAAGAAAATCAGTCAAAATTATGTATTATGTATTCAAGGCTTAGAATAAACATATGCTTGTAATGTTTATTATTGTATCTAAAACTTCCATAAGTAAACAAAACAACCTCAAATCTTATTTAAATTTGAAAAGCTAGGATCCAATTTCCACAGTTCATTAGGACTCTTTTAAACTGCGTGCATGGTGTTTTAAAAAAAACTTTATTTAAACAGGAAGAGTATCCTATTCCACATTAATATTCAGCCTCTCTTTAAAAAGGGAGTCCTGGAATAAAGGCCTCAAAGTCATATCCCCTGCAGAGGACACATATATATTACCACCGTGTGTTTCTGAATATATATTAGAAATATAATAACACATTAAACCTCTTTGACACACAACACTGTGCATCACGCATGTGGTTTCCTGCATTAGCAAACAGCTCTTTTCTGTGACTGTATCTATGCAAATGCAGATGTAGTGCTGTTAATTGAGTGTGTAAACATGCATTACTCACAGAAGTGACAGAATATGACATGTCCCAGGATCCAGGGCAGCAGGTAGAGGATGACAGGAGCTGCTGCGTACACAGAGATCAGGAAACACGCAGCTCTCTTCATCCTGAAGCGGCTCAAACACTTACTTTCTGCAGAAATAATCAAATAGATTCAGTGTTCTATGTCGTGTTGCCTTTTCCTGGTTTCAGTGGAGAGCTGAGAGAAAAGCCTGCTGAGCTCTTCCTGGCAGCATGACTGTTGTGAATGTGAAATGCAGACAAAAGCAGGTCGAAGTTCGTGTGAATTAACATTTTCGCTGCTGTGATTGGCTCGCATTTTGCAAGAACACACCCCGCTGGCAACCGTGCACTGCAAGGCATTGTGGGTATTGGAGTTCTTTGGCGTAGTAGTTCGTAGCTGCATTCGTAAATTGGTTAAAGTATGATTTTAAAACAT